GCAACTCAAACTCAACCGAAGGTTCGGCCAAACCTTTAAAAAAAAACGTTTGGCCAAACCTTTTAAAAAAAAACCCTTCCGCCCAAGAGGCCAGCTGTAGCGGACTGCACCCTACAGGGCCTTAGGGGACTGCAAACAGCCCTCTCGATGCGCTTCTCCATTCCTTGAAACATTGGGAACTTTGGGCGGTTTGCGCCCAAACTTGTCTCGCAAGCAGGCAAGCAAGAGCGAATGGAGAGAAATAAAGACGCATCGCACTACAGCTCCAACTTCAAGACTCTTCGTGATCATGTTCACTTATTCGAGAGTTTCTTGTCGGCCTGAAACTGCCATGCATGATGGTCCTTCAGGCAGCTTGCTGTAGAGTTCCACCCAGTCGCATCCCCCTCTTTCATCACCTCTGCTTTATATTTCTCCGTGGGCCGTGTGCGTCTGTTTTCTTTCACCGATGCTGTTGCGACTCGCTCGTGCACTCATCACCTTACCCTCTCAAGATTTATCAGTAACTTCCCCGCGAGGAGGAGATGCTTCAAAAAGGGGCACGTACCCGGCTCGGCCCGGGGTTCCCTGTGACCACAGCCGACACTCCTCTCTATTGCTTTCAAGGCACCTGGCCACGGCTGCCAAAAGCCTTTTTTGTCTTGTGGAACTATATTAACTCTATGGCGACCTTTTGGAACAGATTGCTTCAAAGATTATACAACTCCTGTTCGTCCCTTCGTTTTGATGTTCATCTATCTTGCCTCTTGCACGCCTTGAGAAAAACCCGAGCGCGTCCTTCTCTTTCCAGCCGGTATAGCTGTGGAAAAAAACACACAACACGATATAGGAGGCCTTGTGGAGATGTTCAGACACAGAGACAAATTCTGTCACATTTTTGGGCCCCCACTCACTCTTTTTGCAAGCCACAGCTGAGGGCTTTTGGGGGGGGGGGGGCTTGGCTTTGTTCGGGTTAGTTCCGCAGAGCTTGAAGCCGAAGCCCAGGTCGGGCACCTTTGACTTCCTCACGAACGACTGGCACCTGCTGTCGCTGCACGGGAGCTGGGCCTGCGAGCGGCAGATCACTACCCGCAGGCTGCCCTGGGCTCTCAGATCATGGGCCCCGTCTTTCCCAGTGTTCTTGGTTTCTGTTGTCGCAGTCTTTGGGTTTCTTGTGCAACTGCGGCTGCAGCTGTGGTGCGCGGTGGTCTGGTCGGCTGGAAGCAATTTCAGTCTGAGCAACTCTTGCCACCAGGCTGCAAGAAGGCACCATCCACATTGGCAGCAATCGTGGTGTGTCTTCCCACCAGATGAACCCATTTTCTGCCCGGGGCCCTCACTGCCGGTAGTCGGCGAAGAGCAGAGCCTAGCAGCTGCTAGCAGCTAGGCCACCCTATCACTCCTGCGCCTCAGGTTCTTTCGGCCGGTCCGCCCTCTGAAACCTCGGGGCCAGGAACTCAGGCTTTCTGGCGCGCCTGCGGACGCCTGCGCCTCCCCACAAAAGAGCACTGCGAATCCCAGGCAGTGCTGGGGATTTTGCCTGCTCTATTCTGGCAACTGGCTCATGGAGGCGAGCGGGGGGAAGCCGGTTGTCGCAGTGGCCTATTCTATTCTCGCGGCGCCGCAGGTGGAACAGAGTCAGACTGGATGCGTGCGAGTCAACGTCGGTTCCTGGACTTGTCTTTGCAACAGACATCCAAAAGCAGTTCTCCAGTTCTCCATGAGGCAAAAAGATCTGCGCCAGGTCTCAGCAACACGCACTTCAAGTGGGACCTGCGCCGCTGCCCAAGGGTCTCGGGCAACTGGGGCAGTGCCGGACCGGAAAGGGTCCCTTTTGGTGTCCATCCAGGCGACCAAGAAACCTTCGAGTCTCCCGAGTGCGTCTGTGTCTATTCGGACAAAGGCGCGCACCCGCCCCCCCGTGCTTTTTTCGGTGCTAGAAGCACGCACGGTCCGTCGAGGACTGGGTGAGATGACGCGGAGCTTCCACCGGCTCTTGGGCGAGAGGTGACAACAGTCTCTGAGTTTGCTCTCCGCTTTGGCGGCACTCCCTTGCAGGCTGATCGCGCCGCGCTGGCGGAACCTCATTTGCCCGGTCTTGATCAATACATGGGAGGCCCTCTACTTCGAGGCATCGGAGCAACCATGACGACTGTACTATGGGATATATCAGTGGCTGCATGACCCCTGGCGAGAGGTCTTCCACGACAAGATACTGGAGCTTGTCCCGGGCACAGCAGGAAATTGGGTCTAGTTCTAACACTATTGCCTATCAGACCTATCATCTCCTTGTCTTCTGCATAGCTTGAAATCATCTATCGGCCAGTATTGGGAAGCCTTTCCAAGGCGCGCCCTGCTAAGCAGGTCGGCGTCGAGCCGCGTGGATGCACCCGTCATTGTCTTCGTGCAATCTGATGCTTGAGGGCTCCGAATATGAATTCCAGCAGCATTGATGCAAGAAGCCCTGCTATACGAATGAAATCTTGAGGCTTTTGGTCCTCGATGACGGATGGTTTGGCCGGCGGAACGACGCCGGGAGCTTATGTCGCGTCAGAATGGGGCCCAACTTGAATTGCCCCCTGTGTGCCATTGAATTGCCCCCTGTGTGCCATGGCCAAACTGATAGCATAGGTGAGCCCATGTGAGGGTCTGTTCATTCTTGAGCTTCTTGTCGACAATCTCTTCAACTGCTTCGACAGCCAAATTCTCTTCAACAGAAATTTTATGTATAGGCAGCATTACCTGCCGAGGACACGACTTCCCTCGGTGCAGGCCTCAGTCACGCTCGAAGCAGCCGGGGCTCTCGGATCTTCAGGGCCCTTGACAGAGAGAGCAGTGTTTTAGGCTTTTGTTGGAGGCGGGGGGCCCGGGGGGGCCTTTTTGTTGGCTCTGGCGAGGTGACTGGAAGGAAGATCCGCGAAAGCTACCGCGTGGTGGGGAGCCCAGGGCCCCAGGAACCCTTTTGGGCCTTGTTAGCTCTCGGCTCTCTCTTGCCGCGAATGTGAGGCTTGAAAGGGCTGGCCGAGGCACAGCGGCCTTTTTCTTTGGCTTTTGTTGTAAGACGGCACACACTGTGGCCTCGGGGTACTGACAGAGGCTCTAGGCTTTGAGCATGGTTTGCCGTCTTTGCGAAGGCCCTGTCCCATGTTACCAAAGGCTTTCCTGACAAGAAAGGTGCCAGTTCCACTATAGCAATTTCGGTCTTCTTGTCCATCATGAATGGAGAAGAAGCTGGGGTTGGTTAACCAATGCAAACCACTACGTATACTGCTGTCCGGAGGACTTGAACCAGATGGGTCTGAAATTGGGCCTCTGGGTGGAGCCGGAGATGGTGAACAAGGACCCTCGGAAATCCGTGTGGAGCTCCTTTTGACAGGTGAACTTGATGCTTGACTTGAGGTGCGATGGAAACGAGAGTCGAAAAAGAGAGCTGGCAGCCGGCAGTTAAGATGATGAGAAGCTACTATTAGTAATGCTATTTCCCAGACTGTAACCTTTGCAATTTACTGAAACGGAGAGGACAGCGAGCTTTACAACTTGCATCCAGAATGGGCCCTGGCCCCGGCTGGAGTGCCAGTCTTTTGCCATGTCCACACTTTTTTTGCTGGGAAGCTCTCTGCACAGAAAGCATCTCTCTCTCTCTGCCTGTCAGTCTGCAGACGTGTTGTTTGTTGGTGTTTCTCGAGGTGTTGCATCATCCGGCCCGGCTTCGGTCGGAGGGAAGGCACCCTGCCTCCATGTTTGAGTCCTCAATCTTGCAAGAGTCCGACCAGAGTTCGCAGCAGCCAAGACTTGGACACCGGTCTTTTCAAGATCTTGCCTGAAGGTTGATTTCTGTCTACACGTATGTTGTACAAGTTAGCGGCGTTAGCCAACGTTTGTCTTTCTCCAACCGCCCTTGGGCCCTGGAGAACCCTGCATCGTGGCACGGTGCAAATGTCATCGTTCTCTTATTTTTCGGAGCTTCTTGGTGACTTCCCTTTTCGGCGATATGTGATGCTCTTTTTGTGGTGAGCCGTGTCTTTTGTATTAGGTTTTGGGCATGGGGTTTGCCACCCAGCCTCTTCTACTGTTTAGGCTTGGGGGTACGCCTTCTTAACGCTTGAGGTTTGCCACCCAATGCGTCCTTTTAGGTTCAGCGTTTGCCACCCAACATCTTCTGTTTTGCATACCTTTGTCTAACAGCTTGCCGGAGTCAACAGCAGTAAGACGACAACGACTACGAGAATAGCCATAATCGTAGTTTTGATAAGAATAGTAGTATTGGTCATGATGGTGGTGGTAGTAGTAGCAGTAGCAGCAGCAGCAGCAGCAGCAGCAGTAGTAGTAGTAGTAGCAGTAGTCGTCGTCGCCTTCGCCGTCGTCGTAGTCGTAGTCGTAGTCGTGGTGGTAGTAGTCGTCATCGTCGTAGTCGCAGTCGTAGTCGTGGTGGTGGTAGTAGTAGTAGTAGTAGTAACATTCATATTCATACGAACAATAAGGCACAACTACTGAAAGTTGCCTGAAATTGTACTAATTCGTGAGAGTAGAATTCGTCATGCACAAATAAAGAAAGACACAGATCTCGAGGAAAAGACAGTCACCGATCACCGGAAAAAGAAAGACGAGAATAGCCTACCTTCCCCCAGCTCTGGACCAATCAGGAACCAGCTCGTCTTGGACCTCACGAGCATCGAGGTGCAGGAGCCTTCTGCAAGCACAGAGCAAAGGAAGAGGAGTCGCGCAGGAAAACGTCACTGCGTAACAGCCCGTGGCCCGTCGCACGAGGATTACATCATACATGCAGTGAGCTCCGTCGGCGCCTCAGACAGAGATTACGCAGCCAGGCAGTGGGCGGAGAGAGAAGAAGATGTTAGCGGTTGCTCAGCTCCTGCATACAGTACAGATGGCGTCCGCGAAGATTGCTCGTAGTCGGCGATTCTGAAGGTGCTGGCCAGTGCCAACATCGAGTATATCAAGCGGCGCCAGCCGCAAAGAGATGTCGACTGAAGACATTTTGTTCAATCCTTGTCATCTGGCAGGGTGCCTTAAAATTTGCCTTGACCTTCGTTTCCCGGCATTCTGACACTTCAAGCTCGAAGCTGGCAGGTGGGACATGAACAGAGCGCTTACGGACGCCTTCTCAGCGGCACTTCCGCTGCTTGGCTTGCAAAGATGCAAGGAGGCGGCCGAAGACAGGCTCAGGGGAGAAGAAGCCTGAACCCAAAGAGGCCCTGCGTAAGAGGCCCTGCGGAAGTGACAAGCTTGCCTCCGGTGCTGAAAATCGCGTAGCTACGCTTTGCCAAGAATTTACAAAGAGATGTTACAGTCTGGGGGCGTTTCGTTTAGAAAAGGACCCCCTGCCTCTCGCTCCTTTTTTTTTCAATTCTCCGTGCTTGGGTTGAGAGCACGTGGCCAAGAGCACATGTACTCGTATGACGCAAACGCGAACTCGGAGGACGAGTTGCAGAGTGTCAATAAAGGCACGTGCAATTCTGTGCGCTGTGAAGCGAGGCCCCGCCAGCAGGGTGAGGCCGGGCTGGAGCCGGACGAGAGTCGTCATATGCCGGATAAGAGCAGCGCACAAGTAGCAACAACGGCCCAACAGTCCTTCGCTGTCTGTCAGCATTGTCGCTGCTATTCTGAATGTGCGTGCTGTACTAGGTTCTTCTTGCAGATACTCGTGCGAAGGTAATTAGTATAATGACCATAGGAACACTGAATTGGCAAATAAGGCTTCCCCCACGACAGGAAACGCCCAGTTTCTTTGCAGCCGTGCAGGTCTATCACCGTTACGTCCTTGGGCTTTATCGAGTCTTCGAGGCTCTGGCACGGGTTGCTGAAGCTCCAAGCTACCACCATTGACTTCTTCAGACGATCACGTCGCGATTCCCGCACGTCCTCTTTGAGAGCTGTGCGCCGGGGGCTCTGAGAGAGCTGCTGACCTCGAGTCAACGGGAAAGTTGCTCAACACTCTCCCATATTTCTTTGAGGTCTGGAGGCGGACGCTTTGACGCAGCTCTCCTAGCCTGGTGTCCACAGGCAGGGGCAATCCGACACAAACAAAGGGAAGAAGGTCGGAGCGGAGGCTTTTCGTTTGCCTTTTGTGGGCAGCCTTTTTTGGCACACAGCAGAGAGCAGCAGCGGAGAAGCGGAGAGGCGTGGTGCTCGGACAACTCCGACGCCTTCTCGAGGACGAGGATCCACATGGGAACCTCCTTGTGGGCCCGGTGCCAAAGGAAAGAGAGGGAGCGGGAGGGAGAGCGGAGGGCTCTTCGGCGCTCTCTGGCGCGCTCCCTCTGCCTCTGCCGGCCGAGGCTCCGACGCGGTGCATGGGGGCGCACATCGCTGCGTGCAGGGCTCTTACCAGCCACAGAGAGCGAGAGAGAGAGAGGGATTCTCCGAGAGATCGCCTCGCCTTTTCTCTTCTTTTTCTCTGGCGTGCCGGAAGAAGAGCAGACCGGGGTTCGGGGCGCACGGCAGGTCCAAGCCACCAGACGCGGCGGACGCTGCGGGCCCAGCCGTGAGAGCGGCGAGCAGCGGCCGCCCATCGATTCCGTCTGGTCTGAGGCACATCATGAAGCCCGGGCCCGAGCCTGCCCGAATGCCCGAATCACATCGCAGCTCTACGGACAGGACGCGCTTCATTGTGTCTCTTTGGGGCACCTTTGGCCCAAGCCTGAGAGAGGCGGAGCCGCTCGCAAAGCCGCACAGCCGTCTCGCTGCGCTCGCTCCCAAGGCCTCGAGTTGGACTTGAACGCGCTGCCGGAGAAGGTCCCAAAGCCGAAAGTGCGAAGTGCGCCCCGGGCCCCTTCAAGCAAAGGAACGCTCCATGCTCTCTGCGTATCTCTGCGGGGTGCAGGCGTAAGTCGCGTTTGGATTTCTTCAACACGTGATCCCAAGGAGGAAGAACGACAAAAAGAAAGGAAGTCCGACGTTCACCCAGAGAATTCGGGAGGGTGAGAGTGTGCGCGACCACAATGCTAGCTGTCGCTGTCCCTGTCGTGCGAAGGGCCTTGTCTGTACCTGGGAGGGAGCGCGGAAATGGGTCGCGAAGAGCGGGCGCAAAGGGGGGTGGCGCCGCGAGTCGCCGCTTCGCCGCCGCTCTCTTCGGCACTGCTTCCCTGTGCCTCGGCCGAAGGAGCTCAAGGAGGTGGCGGAGCTCGTCGCGCTGCGGCAGCGGCTCTGCCAGGCCGTCAGGGCTTTATGGACTTAGGAGGTTTTGTAGGCGCTCGGGCTTTCAGAAGGTAGACGTGCGTAGTTAAGGCCAGGACAAAAACACAAGCAGGCGGTGAGACTGGAAGGCCCTTCTTGTGGCAGGTTACGCTGCATGGCAGTTTCTTCCGTCTGCCAGGCCAGCTGTTGAAAAAACCCATGTCAAAAAAGCCCAAGCAGACGCGGCTGACGAGGCTTCGGTTATCCTGGAGCGGCTCAGGGCAACTCTGCTGGCATCGGAGATTCGCATGCAACTTGGATTTGCATCTAAATCCCGAAGGCTTCTTGTGAGTCGTCCGTTCCAGACTTCGTACTTTCATTCTGAGACAAATGACGAAAGATTGTTGGCAGGTGCTTTCGTCAAGGAGTCTAGGAACAACGCGGCATGTTGGCAGGAATCGCTTTTTCCAAATCGACAGCAGTACTTCGGCAACCAAAGCAATAATCATCGCAGCGGGGAGTCCTTGTCGTGCAGAACATGTGTGTTTGTAGTGACAAGCTTGCGCAGCGCGAACTGCCGCATGCGAGGGTCGAAGTGTTCGCTGTGAACGCAGCAGAGGCCCGAGTGCGCAGCTCGAGTCTAGCTGCTAGCTGTTTGTTTCTTCCACCTTTCCCACCCGGAATGACAAGTCCGGCTAGTTCGTTCGCTTCGTGTGCTTACGCAGCTCCGGAAGGGAAGAGTGGGCAAAAGAGTGAATCCGTGCTCCTGCACCCGAGCTTAGTGTAGCTGAGCTTGTCACCCCTGTATAGGAATCTGTTGAATTGAAGGCAGGGTCAGGGGACCATGACTGCACGCAAAGAGGCACAACTTTTTCACAACTCGCACCAGAACAAGCCTTGTGAAACTTGTGAGTCTAAAAGCAGCTTGTGACTTCGAGCGTTGGCCTTGCACCCGTCAGATTGGCAGAAGCTTCGAACCCGGTCATCCATTTCATGAAAATCATTGCAACACAGGACCCATACCCATAGCCCAGATAAGCCCTAAACCTGGTATCAGCTCAGGTCTATGCCTGGATGTTTGTCGCTTTGCCGCAGATTCCTTTCGGCAAGCTGTCCAGCATTCAGAGCCTGCAAACCCCATGACCGTAACCCTCAAAACCACAAACCTTTAATGCCAAGATTCAATAGGGAAGGCAACGAATGAAAGGAGACAACAGCGCTGGTTGAGAAACTGGACACCGCAATAAATCCTCTCAAAGCTAAGAGGTTTCAGCACTTCTTGTCATCGGAAACTCAGCCAGGTGTCACCAGAGCAGGACCGCGCAGTCGTGAGCGCGATTATTTTCCATCGCGACACGGTGTTGGACCCATTTCCATTCGCCAGCACATGATGGTGATATTTTCCACTGTGGGTCGTTTCGTTGCCGAGGTGGGCAAGTTCCCCTCGCGACTGAAGCTTCGAGGTTTGAGGCCGCTTAGCCTGCCTCCATGCCTCCGGCTGTTCCAGCTCTCAGTCCGTGCGCCTTGGGCCTTGGCAGGTCCGAGTGCCACTACCAAGTCAGTGAGCACGTCCCGGGCCTTGGTCCTTCTTGCCTCGCTGTGCGGGTTCAGGAGTGTCGGTGCTTTCAGAGGTTCCGACATTGGCGGACGAAGGCATCTTCAACGGCCGGGGATCCCGAAAAAAAGCCTGCAGGAGCCTTCGGCCTTCAGTCTTCTCTACGGTCTCTAGAGTTCGTCCTCTTCAACCTACATTGTATTTTTCATGCTACATCGCATTATGTAATATATGTACATATGTATGTATATACACCTAGTGGCTTGTTACATATACTAGGAATTAAATTGCATGAGATTCTGCTCTATTGGGTCATATTTGGCCATACTACGTTACCTTGCATTGTACTGTACTGTCCATATCAGATCTTCTTCTGTTCGAAAATGTCATGCGTGTATTGTGCTATGTTCTCTGCCACGACCCAGGCATCTTCCAACCAGGTGGTCCGCAGTTCAAGCATCGCAGGTGGGCAAGTTGCCACTGTCCGGCTCGGTCGCGCAGATGTAGCAGCTGTCTCTACGTGTGGGAGTTTTGCTGAAAGGAGGGAGGCCCTAGCATACATCCTACATTGTAGGCTCGTTGACGAAAGGACCTCGAACATTATGGGGCTCCCAAGGTAAAGACACAGCACCCGCATCTTTCCTGCAAGGCGTTTGACATTGACAGGATCGGCCGGAGACTCTGCTCGTGCCATTGGTGAAATCGCGGATTGTTTCAGAGATTGACGGAGCTTTTGCTGGAGTCTGCAGTGGCCGAAAGCCGGAGGTCTTGATGGAGCTTGGCATTCCGGTCCATTTCAACTTCGACGGAGACTCCATGCTTTTGGAGCTGCAGGCTAGGGCGACCTGGGCTTTGTTCGGCTTCAGGAAGCGACGTGCTTGGAGCATTGCGCGTTTGGGAGCTCTTTTCCATTCTGGAGCAGGTCGTGAGGCCTGAGCCGGCTTGAAGGCGCAGCAAGGCAACTGAAGAAGCCCTGCAGCGACTGCACCTGGCCACGCAGTGGAGACATGCCATGGGTGAAGTCCGATAGACTCTTTGGCATAAGCCGGTCATCTAAACAAGTCATCAGCATCCCCATCATATCATCGTCGTTGTAGCAGAGCCGGTACTAGTCCTAGGGGGAGCGGTAGTGGTGGCACGAGTAGTAGTAGTAGTAGTAGTAGTAGTAGTAGTAGTGGTAGTGGTAGTGGTAGTGGTAGTGGTAGTAGTAGTAGTAGTAGTAGTAGGAGTAGGAGTACGAGTAGGAGTA